GATATCATGTGTGCGTCGGCAGGGGATCGAACCCCAGACCATGTGAATGGTCGGCGAGAATTCTAACCACTGTACCACCGACGCACATGAAAACCCGCTATCTTCTACGCAATACATTTCGGACAGTCTGATCACACATTTACTTGTCATGTCAGTTTATATGAAAAAAATAAGGGGCGATTAAAGTGCACAGCTTCTGTGCATTACAGTAAAAGAGAGGTTTGGTTAAATGCTTATTCAAGAGGTTTCGGCGTATTTGTACGTCTGCTGTTATAGAGAATGAAAATAAAATATTGATGGACTCTCTTGTTGAAAATGGATATCCTTTAAAATTTGTACACACAGGCAGAATATTTATCTTCGGGGACATAGCCGAATAGCCTACCGATCAGAAGAATTTAATTTCTACTGCCCTAGCCAAATTTTATTGTGGTTGGATGTAGAAGTCAATTAATGTTAAAACCTACGGTTTGTTCCACCCCTAAGAGATTAAACTCAGTCACCCGTAGGTCCTATTATGCAACACGGCTCGTAATCATTTAAAAAGCCAAAAAAATGCTCCATTGCAAACCTCACGAGTGCACAAGTGATTATGTGAAATGCCACACTATTTACCAATTTACGTGTGTGTGGTGGGGGGGGGCACACATATACAGGGAGAAATAATCGCGCTTTGTATGTGAGGGTGTAAGAGCATATTCTAAAATGGTTAGAACGACAGATAAACTTTGGAAAATTAGGAGACTGAGGTGGCAGACTACCGACTTTGGCAACAGCTGAACATCTAATCGTTATGATCCATAAGATTGATGTTAACACAGCCTTTAAGGTCATTTATAAAAATGGTCAGGGGTGCTTATTATTACTCTGAGGCTATAACTATTCCTAAACTTTGCCCCCACCCATTTGTGCTCAAAAACAATTTATTATTGTTCTTAACCAACCTCCATAGTCCTTATTTGATTGGATAACCAAACGTTGTGTTAATTATTGTTACTATTCTTAAATCCATTATGTCAGTTTGTGTACTTTAATTGTCCTTTATTTTTTCATATAAACTGACGTGACAAGTAAATGTGATCAGACTGTTTGAAATGTATTGCGTAAATGCATCACATTGTTTTTCAGATAATCACCGTCTTCTAATAACTCTATCGAAATATCACATCAGTTTTGATTTTGTCATTTCATGGAAGAAGGGAGTGAGAACCAGGTCAAATTCTGTTCTTAATCCTTCACTCTCGTTCAGACATTCCATGAAACGTTCTTTATGACTTTGGAAATATCCTGAATGACTCTAAATCATGACGATTTATACTACTAACTGACTGATGTAAGTAGTACGGTACATCCCATGTCGACCAGTAGCGCTTGCTATCTGAATCGAAGTGACCTAAACACTGGGTGACCACCTTTCCTCGTTTAGGGTGGAACTCTTTTGCTGCATATCCACTTTGACTTAGCTCAAAGAGCTGAATCACTTGAGACACCTCGAATTCGTTTTTTATTATTATTTTTTTTTATTACAGCTTGATTCCACACTGTATTTTTGGTACAATTATGGAATTTTCAGCATGAATATCGGTAGACCAAATTTTTCAGGCCGACTATAGATATCATGTGTGCATCGGCAGGGGATCGAACCGCGGACCATGTGCATGATCGGCGAGCGTCATAACCTATGTGCCACCGACGCACACCGACGCTACTCTGCGCCCTAAATGAGTCAAACAGTAATCCAGTGTTTTGATAACTGTGATCTGGCCAGCAAGCATTATTGGTTAATAATAGTCAGAGAAAACCATCAGTAGTATATGGCATATTGCATTCATGCTTGCTTTATTGACTACTACTATTAAGGGTAATAAGCACATCAAATATTGTAGTGTAAAATTTCACTCCAAAATGTATATTTCGCTAATCATGAACTGAGAATAAAGTAAGTTATAAAGTTGTCTGAATATATCAGTTTGATTATGAGTCATATATTGTGCTCGCAAGGTCATCCAGTTATCAGTTTTTTGTATAGTTATGTCTTGTATCAGATGACCTCATCTAGAGTTGGTTTTGTAGGGATGTAATTTATTTCAAGTCCTACAACCGATCGATGTCAATAAGAGAACCATTGAAATCTCTCAGGGAGTATTGGACAACTACTCAGTCCTATAAAGTATAATTAATATTTCAATAATTTACACACAATGATAAGTTTTGTTATTGGTAATTTTGCTCGAAATATTACCAATAACAAAGCATATCATTGTGTGTAAATTATTGAAATATAATTATACTTTAATTTGATCTAATCCACAATGCTCAAACTTTTTACTGATACTCAGTCCTAGTTTGCGACTCATCAGTAGTACGCACCCACCGACAGGGGTCGAACCCAGGACCTTCCGGTTACAAGGCAAGCTAGTAGAGTATTCAACCACTGAAGCTTGACCCAGTGGTCTGGAAATTCTAACTTCTACAAATTCATGATTTTATTGAGACTTGCACCAGACACTTTCACCGCTTGCGAGTATTATTTTATTCTCCCAACCTGTTGGTCCCCAGTGGTCACGACTTCTCACTAGAAATCTAGGCAGTTTCATCCTGTAACCAGTCATTAATCAGCCTTAGATAAATTTTCAAGAGTTAATTATTATTGTATCCTTTAGTTCCTAGAGGAACATAGGGCTTCAGCTGCGCACCTCCATTGCCTTCGGTTTTCTGACAACTTTTTCACCCTGCTCCAAGTCTGCTCACATGCTTTCATCTCCTCTTCACATGACCTCCTCCAAGCCACCCTTGCACTGACGACCAACTCGCCGCTTCCCCCATCGAGTTCCAATCGAGCAATGGCTTGTCTAGTGATGTCACTTGATGATTTCCTCAGAGTATGGCCAATCCATCTCCATTTCTTCCTGACTATTTGTTTCACAATCGGTTCCTGTTGGGTCGGTTCGCTCCCAGAGATCCCTGTTGCTGATCTTTTCTGCCCATCTGGTCTTGAGTATTGAGCGAAGACAGCTGTTAATGAAGGTCTGAAGTTTGTTTGAGATGCTCTTTATGACTCGCCAAGTCTCTGATCCGTATAGTAGCACTGACTTTACATTGGAGTTGAAAATCCGGATCTTATTATTGAAAACCAGGGAGTTTTCTTACTGATGTCAGTCCTTGGTCAGACTTGAAATAGACTTATCTAATACAGAGGTTTTACAAATCACTTAAACCTGTTATTCCGTAATCAGTTCTCAACGTTTTCTGGGAAGTGAGTACTAATAACGTTCAATCTCGGTAGCTGATTCTTCTTCCTAACTAATTCACTTTTTTCTAGAAAGTACTTCAGTGAAAACGCGGTATGGGTGGTATTGACTGTGGCATTTTGTGAATGCTGCTTTTTTATGTTTATCGACATAACAGTATTAAAGCGACCGGACTAGCTCTTTTGTTCGTAAGTATTTACCATAAAAGGCGCCAGAGATCAATGCAGTCAGTTATTTTATACGATTCAAAAATTTCAGATCTATATACTGTCACTAGGTTTTAAGACAGCCAGATTTTCATTCAACCAACAGCTATTTGAAATACACTTAAATTGAACTTAATATAGTTGTGTTCTTTGAATTGGATAACTTAGCTGCTAAGCTTCCAGTGCTCTACTAGACACCATCTTTAGAGCTTACTTCATTTTGAAATATAACTGAGGATATTGTCTAGTCAGATGATAAAAGCTTCGCAACTAAACTATCTAGCTCACAGAACAGAACTATACCGAAGTCATCCCCCCGAGCTATCAGTCTTCTGCATTACACTCAAACTAGTTGACTCGAAAATTAAATTTGTCTGATTTTTCGATGCTCTTAAGTGTAACTTTTCTCTTCCCAAATGATTTATAATTGATGGTAAGAGTTCAGCAGTAAAAAGCCGGTCGAAGAAACTGTTCCAAATTGAGTGTGACGGGAGAAGGCGAGGGACTTGGAACACTCTTGACGAAGTGGGAAGTCAATAGCTACGACTTTGACTCTTCAATAAATATGGAGACTGCACGACGAATTGGATTCGTCAGCTTTATCACCGACACTAACGGGTCCACATCAGGTCCCCGCTTCGCTTCACAGAACTGCTGCGGGTCCGTCGAATTCCACCATCGATCTTTCAACCACTATGTTTCAGGTCTCTTCATCACCTGACTGCCCTGTACTGTTGTACTCTGCAGTTTGTCCGACCCCTCACCAGCGTCCCAGAACAACCGTCTTCACCGTCAGAGCCTTGACGCTCACCGACTCAGCGACAGCACCAAGGTCCTGCAAGAAGCTCTTTATGTCGCCTTCTTTGAAAGCAGTCGGCTATGGGATCTCCACTGTCTGGAAGCAGCGACACTAAATTTTAATGCGCGAAGACAAGAAACGGTAATGGAATGTTAATTTGCAGTTTGACGTACGCATATAGGGAAATTACATACACCTTATCTTAAAATTGTCGTTTGCACAAATCTTCGGTTTTGTACTACTTCTCCCTTTCGTCTAGTGTTTCTGTGTCTTTTGTTCATGTCTCCCATATTTTGCCGCAATACTGGTTCATCACTTGTTCTCTTTGACATCAAATCTATCTATCTATCTACTATTTGATGCTTTTGTGCTAATGAACGTCTCTTTATATACTACTGGTAAATCTTGTCAGTAGCACATACCACAACACCGTACTTGTAAAGAGAAAACACAGGTTTTTTTAAATAATTATTTCCAATTCTACTAAATTTTAAATGTTTCACAAATTCACTGGAAAGCAGTAGATAAATGCAGTACTTATACTACACATAACATACGCACACACACACACACATGCACATAGACAATCAAGTCGAGATATACTCTCACTATTCTTTGAGTGTTACAACAAACATTTCATCTACCAGCATAACAACATTAGTATGAATTTATCTAATCTTTTTTTTTGTTGTTTTTGTTTCATCATTTTTGTAATGTTAGTTATCAGAATGTTAACTAGCCAAATTATTCTGTTGAAATTGCTTTCATTGGATGATATTCTGAACGTTTTCCCATTCGCATATTACGAATTCCACGTTTACGATATTCAGCATATCGATTGTAGACTGGTGGATAACCGAAACTTGGATAATCTTGGAAGGCATCAAGTTCATCAGTATCTGAGTATCCAAGTGTGCTTGGAAGTTGAACAGCTGTGATATGAAAAGGCAAAAAAAAAAACAAACAGGTAAAGGTTAAACAAAATTAGGTTACGGATAAGTTTTGTGTCTGTGATGAAACCTGTGTCGTTAGTGAGTTCACTTCAGTCTGGTTATTGAACCGAGCGTACTATTTGGTGTCAATGGTTCCTAGTCATTAACACTAATTAGTAGAAGATATCATAATTATTTACGAGTGATTGCTAATAATGACAACTAAAACAGAAATTTTTCAAAAAAATGGTTACCGAACAAAGAATATTCTTTTCGATAACTTCATCATCAGGTTTGATAGTTATATTCACAGAAAATAACATCGAATCAATGATACCAATGGATTACAGTTTGACAGCATCAACATAATAGCAGAGATATTAGAAATAATAATAAAACTTCATGAATTGATAGTCTACACTGAAGGCCAGGACAGTAGTAGTTGCTGAACTTACTTCTTTTACACATAAAGCAATGATTTTTTTTCCATGAGTATCGCGATAGCCACTACTGTTTTGAGTATGCGGTACCTAAATGTTTTTGGCAATTTATTTGGTACTTGGTAGATGATAGAGAAGGATTCTTCAATGCTAACTAGTTTTGTTACCGGTTTAGACCAGGTGGTACTTCATCTTTCAATTGAGGAATCACCACCGGTCATTTAGAAAATAAGACTTGTAGTATGCCGGCATTAAAAGTTCTTTGAATTGATTTTCTTGACGTATTCTTAATTATTTCGCTAGGTATATCACCGTTGAATTGCAAACGTATGAATACAGGCTTCTTGTTTACGGATAGTGAATAGTCCGTCTCAACTTTCTTAGTTATATGTTTCCTGATGAATTTGTCTGGATAGCTATTTTCGATCAAGGTATCATATACAATCCTTAGTTCATCTTCAACTACCTCTTCTGAGTATATTGTTCTAACCCTATGGCTGAGGGTCCTTACTAAATTTCTTTTGTACTGGAGAGTAACAAAAATTGAAAAAGACAATCATTCAATGGAATAAACGATGCTGCTTAAGTCATCTAGAACAGGAGAAGTTTGACTTCCAAATGAAAGCCTATATTTTGTCATGATTCAAACGACAAGGTCCTGAAATTCTTCTTGATGTGATAATGATGCACTAATGACTACTCATCTGGGGGGGGAATGCAGGTACGAAATGCACATCCTGTATTCCACTGGGAATCTCCATCCACCATTAATTATTACCAATCGCACAATAGGATTATTGTAGAGACCAGTATTTTCCAAGAAGTGCACCCAAAAATTTAGCTATTTTTATAAAACTACTTACAACTAGTATGAGTAGCTTTCAAAAAAGTGTTATTGACAAAACACAGTTTCGCAGTGAAATACTTAGTACCTATGTTCTGCAACTTGAGATCAACCTCTGACGTGTATACATATATTTACGTTAACAATAAAATTAAAAGTGCTGTTACATTTTGATAATGAGTGAAGTAGTTAACCTTTATAGCAGCATAACTTTGAGTCGCATATTTTATGGGGATAGTACACTATTTTGGCCAATAAACGTTAATTTTAAAGTGTTGGTCTGCAGGGATGGATTCAACTGATTCCAAGTCACATCACTTACTGATAACAGTTAGGGAGCTACTGAAGACCGGATAATACTATGTGGCTGTTTCGTCGTGGTTTGGGACTCCTCATCAGTACGCACCATTGGCCCTACGGGGTTATAAGGAGCGTCCGAATCCAATGGCCTATGAATCTTAACTTCTATCCTAAGGTCAACAGAGCTCCCACTATGATATTTTCTGTATTTGAATCTACAGTCACCGATAGGCTGTTGATCTTCTTGGAGATATATATCGTCATCAAATAAACAAATAAATAGTCTTCAGTCTGTGATGCTACATACTATTGAGTAATTGAGATAAGTAGGTGAGTACCACATACATCAGACAAGAGTACTTGTTAATCAGATTGAAGTGATCTTATCACCAGACAGCTGGTTCACTCGTTTGGACTCGAGCTCATCAGTGATGTGCTCTCTCGAATTCTCACTGGTTTCTTGAAGGAACAGGTATATATGTTAAATCAAATCCTCAGTTAATAAATTAATTCGTGATTCGTAATATACACAGTTCAAGGTGAGATGTCACCACAGTTTACTCTGGAGATCACTAATCAATTTGTGAATCGTGGATTTAATTTAAATTCACTGTACACTATGTTGACGAAAAAAAGATGTGACGGTAAAAGAAGACAAGATTAACATCGCCTACAAGATAAATTACAATAACTGTGAAACACTAGAACGGTCAGAATAGACGCTCTCCACATCTCTACACCGATGAACACAACCAACAATCAGTCAAAAGACACAATAACCAATACCTTAAATCAACGCGTTCAGAAAATAAAGACTCCAATTCTAATGGGACAATATACAAGTCGTAATTAAACAAAGGTAACATTAAATATTCCAGTCGTGTTGACGAAAGGTACCATAGCAAGTGGAAAACAGGGTAATAATATCTCCGGTGACAACAAATCATCTTCAAGGTCATCATGGGAGATGGAGAGTTATTCGACCCGTAGAGGAGAACTGTAAAAGCCCACTTTTCATTCAAGTTTGTTGTGATTGTGTTGTCCAGAAAGAGATCAACTGTAAGCTTTGTAATTCAACCGTTGAATATCAAGCATTCAGCTGAGTTAAAAAAAATATCTTCCCCCATCATTTCCAAAAATGTAAATTCCCCATCTTTTTCTCCATTGTATTTTATTTTTATTACTCTGTTTGTTTTTTTTGTCAAATCTAGTTCCCTCTTTTTTTATTATTATTATTATGATTAAAAGTGATCAATGCTTGTCATAATTTTGAAATCACAACAACAAACTTTTCGTTTCGTAAAACAAAACAAACAAAACGAACAAACATCTCCATTCAATCAAGTAGGATTTTCTCCCTATATCCACCTTTCCCTATGCAATATCATAAAATATACAATTTTATTATTAGCGTTATTTCATTCAATGATTACAACAAATGTCATCATTCGAGTGAATGTGGGCTTGTTTGTCAATGAAAAGTAAACGTGTAAATATAAACAAATTAATGAAGGAAAATTTGATAGAGAAGGTGAAAATAAACACAACTTTGCTTGTTTGTTTGTTTGTTTGGTTTATAATTCTGATGTACAAAATTCCGATTTCAAAAAAAAATCACTTCAATTTGTTTAGCTAAATCAGTGGTTCTGTGGTACAACTTTGTTTTTTTTTTGGCACATTTCAATTACCTATCGATATATTCGATTCTATTCTTGTCGGATTCAATGTTTCATGCTGGCATTTCGGTTGGTTATGATTTTATGATAGATGGTATACAAGAGAGCTGATTCAGGTGTTATCTTACTCTAGGATACATCAAAATTCAGGATCTTCAGATATTAAAGTGAATCATACGTTATTAGAAAGAACAACAGATTAAGTGGAGAAATATGCATTCCTTTTCAATTAGTTCCTCATCACACCGGCTGGCTCTACACTAATATGTGGTGTTTTGCATCAACAAATGGATCTCGTCTTTCCAAGTCACAATCATTTACAGGTACAACGTCTTCTCTCTACCTTTTTTTTTCTTTCTGTGTTTATTTTTGTTATGTGCTGTTTTGTTTCTCTCTTCCTTACAAACTCTACTTAATACATTCTTGTTAGTTCTTTCACACTCTGTATATCTCGACCATTTTGCTATCGCTTACGTCAGTAAATATGCTAGTAGTATCTACTTTTCTAACACCTTCAAACACTGTTTAAATTTTGGCTTTGCTACCGACATGCTAATATGTTGTTGTCAAAACTGACTGAGATAACTTTAATCTATGTAGAACTTTATTTATTGTTAACGTACTAACTGCAAGCAATATTCCATATTAGTTTGATTATTAAATGTATCACACAGTGTATCTACAGTATTTAAATTCCAAGGGAAAATATACAAACAAACTGAGGGAGTTGACATGGGATCACCAATATCCCCGGTGGTAGTGTGGTGAGAGCAGGCCGTGAGAAAATATGAGCAAGGCTGATTCAACAACCAATCACAGCAAAGTTAACGTGGCAAAATATGATTCGCAGATAGAGAACTCTATTTGTCGAGGAATCCCGAAACAACCAATCAGAAGCCTGCGTTTGTCTACTTGCATAAGCTATAATAATGTATGTGAAATATGTATAAATACGTGTTGATTCTCGTAATAAAACGATCTGTTTCCTGGCCCTTGTCTTCTGTTGTTACAGTAGCAGATATATTCATGGATAGGTGGGAAAAGATAGCGATTGAAACGTTCACCCCCACCCCAAAAGTATGGTGGAGGTATGTAGATGACACATTCACTGTACTTAGAACACAAGATATAGATAGATTTTTCGAGCACATCAACTCGAAGGTAGAGGCAATTCAATTCACTTATGAATTGGAAAGTCAGGAAGGGGAACTTCCAATGTTAGATTGCAACGTAAAAAGGAAAGAAGATGGGAAGCTAAACACTAGTGTTTACAGAAAACCCACACATTCAAACAGATATTTGGATTTCCGATCATCCCATCCTATGTCAGTAAAAATAGGATTAGTGAAATGTTTAAATGACAGAGCACAAAAACTAAGTAGTACCAAGGAAAATCTAAGACAGGAAGTGACACACATAAAAGAAGCCTTGAAACTTAATAATTACCCGGATAAATTAGTCAAGAAATATGTAAATAAATGTAAAAATAAAATAAATAATGATAACAGAGATAGTGATAATAATAATAATGATAACAATAATAATAATAATAATGGTAGTAATAATAGTGATAATAATAATATTATAATAACGACACCAACAATAAGGAATGTAAATCATCAACAATAATTCCATACAAAGAAGGAACCTCGGAAGCCTTACGCAGAATTCTTAACAAGGCAGGAATAAAAGTGGCATTCAAACCCACAAACTCAATTAGAAACAAGCTTTGTCGGTTAA